TTTTCCCTTCCGATCGTCGACTCGGGACATTCGCCTAACAACCCGCACCGTGCAATCTGGCTCAGCAGACGAGCGGCACACACTGCAACAGGCTTGCATCTGTTTGCGTGTTGTGTTTTGAAGATGCTCCGCGTCAGTCAGGGCCACTTCAGGTGTGTAGAGGGACAGGGCGAGGACCCGGCTGCTGCTGGGCGGCGATGGCATGCAGCTGGTGGTTCCTGGTGGGCGGCTGTGCGTCCGGCATGGCGAACTTGAGCTTCTCCCAGAAATGCGTGTCGCCCCACTTCAAGTACGTGTTTGTTTTTAGGTAGAGTCGGATGTCGGGGTCCAAATCCCGCTGCGGGACGTCGCCTAATAGTATGACGATTAAGCGGCGACGCCTGTCTTTGAGGACCTCGTGGTGGGCCGATCGGAATTCGAAGCGACACCACTCTGATTTTATAAAATTTTCGGATAAAATTAGTATCGTGCGCTTGCTCGTTTCCACTGCGCTTAGGATGGTGTCCGTTATATAGGCACCGACAGGGAAGTCTCTGTAATGCAGACACAGCTTGTACGCGGGGCTCCCGCGCTCCAACTCGGGGGCGAGGATCTGCGTCACGAACACCTCGTCCTTCGAGCTGTAGCTCACAAACGCGTCGAAAGCCTTGTCGGTGTCGCCCTCGTACTCGCTCCGGTAGAAGAGTCTGACGCCGTACTTGGCGTACACCCACACCCGCATGCGGTTGCGGTTGCAGAAGACTATGAGGGTGATGGTGAGGAGCACGGCGAAGGCCCCGAGCGTGATGGTGGGCAGGAACACGTAGTCCAAGTAAGCCTCGTGCCGGATCGTGGTAGTCTCGGTCTCGTTGTTACACGAGGAGTGATTGTAGGTCGAGACCTGAGCCACGACTTCGCTCGACCCGTTGAGGGCGCAGTAGATTTTATCCGCGTCCCTGAGCTTCCTGCCAACGCCCTGGAGCCATGCCTGAATGTCCCTCAGGTTCTCACAATCGCAGGTCCAGGGGTTCTCGCTGAGGTGAAGGGAATGGAGATTATGGTTTTTAGAGAACATGTTCACAGGAAATGTTTTCAGGCGGTTATTGTCTAGCCTCAGCACCCTAAGCGAGGCCAGCGTCAGGAATGTTGTATTTTGAATGAAAAACAATTCATTATCATGTAAATACAATTCACGTAAAAGGGTAAGATGTTCAAACTCATAACCCTTCAGTTCCTTGATTGAATTCCTATGAAGGTAGAGTGTTTCTAACAACTTCAGTCCGTTGAATGTCCTGTTGTGTATGACCTCGACGCCGCTGTCGTTCAGATACAGAACTCTCATGTTCTTTCGCCCGATGAACGTGTGGCTGGAGAGGGACGAGAGCGCGTTGCCGTCCAGGTACACTTCGGAGGAGTCCATCGGGATCCTCTCCGGCACGGATCCGTAACCCGCGCGGGAGCAGTCGACGATGTTGGCCGCCCAGGAGTTGTCGTGGAAGCAGGTGCAGTTGGCGGGGCACGTCATCTCGCAGTCACAGGCGTCGAAGTCGCAGCATTTACAGCGGGTGAAACAGTGCGAGTCGTACTCACACAGGAACTGCAGCTTCTTGGCATCCAGCAGAGGGATTTTGCCCTTGTTGTTCATCAGGCGACACTCGATGGAGTCGAGGTCGATCACCATCAGGCGCTGGTGTGGCTGGTCATAGCTGTTGATCGTCTGCAGCCACTCCATGGTGCAGTCGCACTCGAAAGGGTTCCCGCCCAGGTAGAACTCGGGCAGGTCACGAGAGGGATCCATTTGGGAAAGCCTGAGCGCCGTCTGATCGAGATTTCTGATCTTATTTGCATACAGATCCACTTTTGTAAGATTATTATTACTGAAGAAGGCGAAAGGCTGCACACTTTCTATAAGATTATTGTTCAGGAAAATTATTTCAACACTATCAGGAAATGAACTTGCACTGATGTCGGATAACCTGTTAAAACTAGCGTCGATGATTTTTAAATGCGGCTCACCTTCAATTTCATAATGATTACCAAGTTCATTAATGTTATTTGACCGCAGATCTAGATATTTTAAACCTCTTGGAATAAATGCATAATCAAACATTTCAAGATGATTTTTAGACAAATTAAGCCACTGAAGGTTTGGCAGGTTTGAAAAAAGTCCTTTAACATTTGTCAAAATATTGTCATCTAATCTGATAGCTTCAATATGTCTGTTGTTATCAAAAGCTCCGTTCTCTACAGTGAAAATCCTGTTGCTTGACAGATCAAGCACTTGCAGAGACGGGAGGTTTGTAAACACACTTTTCGTGACGTTTTCTATGTCGTTTGCAGCAAGTCTTAGAACACTAAGGTGAGGAAGGTCCGGGAAGGACTTGTTGCTTATGACACTTACATGGTTGCCGCTCAGGTCGAGGATCCTGAGGGAGGCGAGGCTCTTCACCACTTTGGGAACATCCTGCAGGTGGTTGTGGCTCAGCTGGAGCTCCTGAAGCCCCGTGGAGTTGACAAGGGC